TGGCCGCCGGGCCCCCGTCACCTGCCGCGGGGAGCGCTGAGCCCGTGAGTAGCCCGATCCTTGCCGCCCGCGCATCGCCCTGCGGCGGTCATTACCTTCGCGTTGCACGGACTGGGGGCGGGGGAAGCGCGGCCCGGGGAGGGGCGCTCGAGACCCCACAGAGGGAGGCGGGGCTGCACCGCGCGGCTGGAGACCATCCCGTGGGTGAGGGCGCGCGGGGAGGGGTGGCGCCCTCGGGGTCAGGAGTCTCTGCGCAGGGTCTGGGCTCCCCTGGTCCCTCACGGGCTGGGGTCGGGGCACGTGGCCCACCCGGAGGAGCGTTTTGTGAATGGGAAGGCCCCGGGGTCGGGCTCCATGGAGACGCAGGGGAGTCCCGCGCGCTGTGTGGCGGCGGCGGCGGCGGCGGCGGCGGCACAATGCCCGGCTCGGGGAACTCCCCAGCGCGGGGAGGCCGAGGCGCACGGAGATCCCGGCCCGGCGGGGCGCATCCGGGGACGTGGCCGGAGCCCGCGCGGGTGGAAGCAGGGGTTAGCGACCCTGTGGGGTGCAGTGGTCCTCTCTCCCAACACCCAGGCCCCGAGAGCCCTGGCCGGGTCCTTGGGGAGGCTGCTTCACGCGAGGAGTTGAGGACCCAAAGGAGTTGTGGGGAAGAAGGGGCTCCCACGGCTCCCTAAAGAGGGGTCCGCAGCGCCGCGCGCGAGGGTAGGCAAGGTAGGTGGGTGGGGGTGGGTGACGAGCGGCCCGCTGGGCCCTCCAGGGGGCGGGCTGGGGGTGCTCCCGGCGGAGTCTCTGAGCGGCGTCAGGGAGGCTCCAGCCCGAACCGAGTCTGCTTCTCCCCAGCCTTGGTCGCCCCCAGGGGCTGGCACAGCCCGGCTGGGGAACCTGGAGCCTGGGCGGCCGGGCGCAACCCTGGCCCAAACTTTCTGCCCCGGCGGCCCCTGGGAGGCAGTGGCGCTCGTCCCTTTGGGAGGGCTGTCTCCGTCCGTCGCGCCCGGGCGCGGCACGAGGCCCGAGGTCACATCCTCCCCTAGGTGCGGAGCCTCCCCGTCGTGTCTCCCCGCAGTACCCACGCTGCTGGGAGCCCTCACCCAGTCCGCGCGAGGATGAGGGAGCAGCGCCTGGTGTGGAGGGACGTTGGGACCCTGTCCGTCCCAGAGCGGCCCGGGATCCAGAGTCTCACGTGGGGTGGGGGGTGTTGTTGGGAGTCTGGAACTCCGGCCCCCCGCCAGCGGGCACGGGGACCTCCGGGGTGGGGAGAAACTGCTCCGTGACAGCTTCCCAGCTTTTTGGAGGGACTAGGTTTATTTTTTAATGGTCACTTTTAAAAAGGACTTCCGCAGCGCCGCTTTTCCTTATGCGGGAGAAACACCCAGCGTTGGAGGCGAAGGATGGGGACTGAGGGATCCATCCCCCAGGCGAGCACCCCCCCTCCCAGCTAGAGGTGAAGTGAAGTCGGGGCTTCGGAGGAGCAGGGTCGCTAAGTTCCTGCTGAAACACCCTCCTCGCTCAGGGACGCCCTGGGCGCGTACCCGGGAGCCAGGGCACTCAGTACCAAGCAGGTTCCAGGCTAATGGAGTCAGGTCGCTGGTAATGAGGTCTTTTAGTCGGAAGACAGCTTTTGTTTTACTGGCTTGCAAAAAATAAATACATAAATAAAAAATAAATAAAAGTATAAACACCACGGCAGAACCTGCTCATTAAGCGTGCATAGTGGATTTGGGTGGATGTCTTAATTAGGCTGCGTTGTTAACGGGGATATTACACTAATTAAAACCAGACCCTCCAGGTGAGCGAAAATTGTGGAGGGAGAGGGAGAAAAGTTGCAGCGAAAGTGCTGCTCGAAGAAAGCGAGATGCGTGCAGGTCGGGGGGGGCCCCGTGGGGGCTTCTTGGGGCAGCATCGGGGGTGGGGGGTGCCTTCTGAGCACCAGCAAGGTGCACCCCCTCCCTTCCCGCCTCCACCAGCCAGCACTGAGGACTGAGGCTGCCACCCCAGTCCCTCCCTGGGGACTGGAGGGCTCCCTGCGTGGGCACGGGCTCCCCGCACACTCCTAGAAGCAATGCTTAACCCCTCATTCCCCTGCTGGGAGTTTCAGGGAGGGCGACTCTGTGGGCGAGGTGGGAAACCCTGGGGGTTTCGGGAGCAGAGGCAGAGTAACACGGGGGCACTCAGGCCAGCCAGTCTGGGCCTGGTGAGGCAGCTGTGTGCGAGGGGGATGGTTTGCCAGTGGCATATAGGGTGTTTGCCTCCGAGCTGCTGGGGTTTTCTGGCATGAGGTGCCCATTTCCAACAGCGATTCCCTTCCCCATAGAAAGAGGACTTAAATGATTTATCTGATCCACCCTCCAGGGGCCTGGGGCTTAGAGAGACCTCCATCCACCTCCTCTGGGGCCTTGGTCGTCTCAGGACGCTGGGAGAAGCTGGGAATCCAGGAAGTGCCCCC